TATGGTGGTGGGGGGGGGGGGGGTGTTGGGGGGGGGGGGGGGGGCTGGGCTGGGCTGGGCTATAGCCCCCCCTCCCTCAGGCACAAGAAATTTTTTTTTAATGTATTTTTAATTTTTTTGGGTAAAAAATCAATTTTTTATGTGTAATTTTTTTTTTTTTTACGCATAGTAGCCCGGTTTAAAATTTTGTAGCCCGGTCTTGGATCCAATCCTGGATCAGTCCCTGCATGAATGTGATGTACCAAAAAATTGTAGTTTCTAATGGAATAAGTAGCAAAATCACTTTACCACCCACAGTTACTCAGTCCCCACCCCTAAGTTAAACTGGTGCTTGCTATTGCACCAGGTGCTAAAGGATGGGAGTTTTGTATCCATAAAGCAAAAACGAGTTGTAATTGCGTAGCAGTATATGAAAACATATCTTGAGAACATCCTAAAGCGCTCATGGTATCGTTACGTTACATCTGCTAAGAGATTTACACCTTCAAACAACCAACTTTTCCTCATCCAATCCAGGTACGACTACATCTCCCCACGTACCACTATATTTCGTCCCAACCTCAGCTCCAGCTCGTGAAAACAATTCAACTGCTGCGGGCAACTTTCCGTAGTATCTCTTCAAAGCATCGACCAAAAGTCTGTCTTGTGAATCGTGAACATGCCACACATACACGGATGGAACAATATCATCTATATTTGCTTCTTGCCAGGCATGTTGCCCGTCCCTCATCTGGTGCTTGAATGCTTGGCATTGCCGCACCCTATGCCCCTTGGGCCCTACTTGGACTTCCGAACAATACCCGCATGTTTTGACAGCATACTTCTGCACAAGTTCAATGACTCCTGACCTCATTTTTTCCCACGCCACAATGCCTTGCGCTGCAATACCTGCTCATCTGCACATGAATTAGCACTTCCATGGGGGTGGGAGCAAACGCTGTCAACCAATCATCACAAATTGAGAGTAATGCTGAACTTAAACTTTTGTTACAATGTAGTAATTTTGTCCATGTTTGTTAATTCGACCAACACAAAAATGCTGACTTGAAAGCTCAGTTGGCAAATAACTGAATTCCATGTCATCTTTTCCCGCTAGTTAAAACTAACAAACACGGACTGACTCACTATCAAAGTTAAGTTCAGTGACCAGCTTGAGAAAAAATGAAATTTAGTGACCACTAGTGTATTTTACTTTGGGGAATTAACATTTATTACTACAATTGCCTTTCGGCACTATATTAGTACTTACAGATAAGAATGTAAGCTAAACAATGCTAAAACATTGATGATGAAAATCCTGTAGAATGAATTTATTTCGAAAGGATAATATCATGAGGGCATACCTTTAAGGTCATTATGAGGGACATTTGAAGACTTTCTACTGTCATTCGACCTCTTCATCATCTCCCAAAAGCCGAAGGTCTCTATGTCCTTTCGGGATAAATCATTTTTGGAGAACCTCTTTTCGAAATCTATCATCCTCCCAGCAACAAAGTAAACAGGGAATTCTCTTCTTCGTGTCGGGTACTCAAGAATGTCCACACCGGCCTGAATGCACAGTTCCACGACAGCTGGAATTCGATCCACTTGCAGCCGCTCATTATGTGAAACGGCTCTTCCCAGCCTATCATACAGATGAAAAGATTCCACGACGGGCAATATGTGCTCAATGCCACCACTTGCCCAAGTATGCTCTTTGTTGTTCTTACTGCCGCTTACATTACATGTTCTGATTTGGTGTGGTGGACTGCCCACGTGAACTTCTCCACAAACACTACAAGAGACAAAAAGGGTTCACATGTGTCGTTCAATACAAGAGTGACAATGGTTTTAAATGTTAGGAATCTGGGGCAAATTTCCAAATTCACAAGAGGATCATTGTTTAGAAATTATATAAAGGAACAGAGAAATAAAGAATGATAACAATATCAATTCCAAGAACACAATACCTTAGCACACCCTAAACTCCAACGAGACTAATAAATGAGTAATCTCAGAAACATGCAAACACCCCCCCCCCCCCCCCCCCCAAATTTCTTGGAGACGTTCCTTTGTCTTATTCTAACAGGAAAATAAACGATGTGGCTAACCATTCCTCTTCAGTGTGAGACAGACAAATCTAATTTCTATTCCATGTGGAACAAGGGTATGAGTTGCCTTCTAACAAACCGAGCTTATGAGGAGGGGAAATTCCAACATTAAGCAACCAAACATACAATATTGAACTCAATGGCACTAACTTCAGCATGTATATTTATGATAATTTCCAATATGAAATCTATATGTACCTGCAAGAATAAATAGGAATGCTATCAGCAACTATGGATATGCAAGTGAATAACTCACTTCTGGCAGCTAAAACTTCGTGAGCAACTGGTATTAGTTCTTTTACCAACAGCCCATTTTCGGGAGGGCTTAAAATGACCTCTCTAACCACTTTTCTCTCTTTCTTTTCCAACCTAGCTTGACGTTTCACTTCATTTATATCAGTTACCCATGGCTTTTTATCAGACTTGCTAAGCCTTCTTGGTAGCTCAACATATCTCAACCCAGTTGAGTATAATGCACAAGGGTAGTTTTTCAACTCGTTTGTAGCTGAAATTTTCGCGTTGCAACATTTTGAAATTATCTGATTGAAGTGCAAGATTGTTCTAGCTCGTCTAAGGAACATTACTAGGATTGGTGTGTAAAGTTGGACAATTCTGGTTTGAGATTTAATAGTCAGGTATTTTATCGAACAAGATGCATGAAACGAAAGACATTGCAATGGCAAGTTGACATCATCGGTGGGGGTAAAAACTGAAAATTCTGATAGTTTATTCAGTCGGGGATTTTATCGAACGGATTGCGTACAACAACAAAGATTTCACGGAACATACTGCAAAAAATTTGACCAGGAACTGGAGCGAAAGTATTGATTTTCAAGAAACGAATAGTTGAATTGTAAGATCAGAATTTTTAAAAAATCACAAATTTGAACTCTAATTCAGATGAAAGTAAAGATTGTGAACTCTTGTTTGAAAGTGTTTTGTTGTGGCATTGGAATTAGTTTGGACTATTGAGAGTAAAAAAAACAACAGGGGTGGATTTGATTGAAATGGAATTATTTTTTAGAAAATAAAATGTTACAAAAATCTACACCCTAAAAAAAGTGTGGAAAATATTTTCTATAGAAAAAAATGACAAATATCGGAAAAGTTAAAATTTGGTTTATAAAAATGGCTATTTCCTATGAATTTTTTTTTCAATCAAACCCCCTAAGATCATCACTTCCCTATATGAATCAACCTTTGAACTGTGTTGCATTTGGATCCTCAACCTTTAAAAATGAGCATTTGAGTGGACAATTTTTCATTTCAGTAACATTTAGGTCTCTAGTGAAGAATTTTACCAAGACGCTAGGATTTTATTACAGAGATGGTTTTTCCCCTACTTTAAATAATAACAAAATCAAAACCAAATTTAAAAATCATTTTAATACCATGTCTTCTTCACTAATCGATCATATTCCTCATCTCCATCACATGTCAAAACTTATAAACAACATTGAACATTGATGAACTTATCTTTCTCTCTTCCATCTCATAATTAACACGGTTTACTTCATTAATTTTCTACATGTTGCAGGAACATTTCAAAAGAAATTCTCTTACGATGTGTTCTGTCAGATGATAATTTCCAAAAACGAAACACTTATTTGATAATTTGCGAAAACGAAATACTTATTTAATTTTGATTCTTTCAATAAATCAAAGTTATACTATGCTATACTTTTACAATAAGTTTTTTTTTTTTTTTTTTTTTGAAGTTTTGTTAAATCGAAGTTCTATAGTTCTTAAAAAATCTTTTCATTTTTGAATCTTTAAATTTGATGAACAAATATGGTGGACCTATCATGACCAAAACGACAAATAGAGAAGTGTTTTTTTTTCCTTCTTTCTTTATTCCTGTTCTTGCAGACTTGAAATGCACGCATTAAGTTTTTAATAGCCCCTATCCATCATCCATTTTTTCAATTTTTTTTTTTAAATCTTGTTTTTAACCACACTTTACATATATTTTACATGTAAATTCAAATCTTTTTACTATTTTTTTAACCACACATTATTTAAAAAATTACTATTCCGAAACTCATTGTCCCCAAAAAAACTCTTTTTAATGGTTAGCAAATAGGACATAGTAATTTATCTTGTTTTATTGTTTAATTTTTTAATTTTTATTATACTAATTCAATTATTGTTCAAATTATGTAATATATACACAACTCACTACTTTTCCAACCATAACTGTTAAAAGAAAATAACAACAAAATTGAAAGTTCGAAACGTATACTTCTATATAACCAATTTTTTCGCTCCTAATTAGTGCTATTTCCGTCAACTTTCAAAATGAATTAGAATGATCCACGCGATCTGACTATTTGGAGCCCAAATTTTTGAAAGAAGAAAATAAATAAAATTAAGATATCCATTTGTAGCCAATAATTTATCCACAAATTGAAGTGTATGAATTCTTTTAACTAGGGTCACGGGATCAATTTACGCATTTTTGAAAGGTTGGAGACTGAATTCCTAATAGCCAATTGCTTAAGGGCCAATAGTGCAAGTTCCCTGTATATAAAGAGCACACTGGACACTTATCGTGCCCTACAATTTTTGCTACTCAGTGCTCAGCTTCTAGGGTTTCTAGGATTTTCGTTTTCTATCCTCTTTCAGAAATAAAAAACTTAAGCATGAGGTAAAGTTCTTCCTTCTGTATTTTAATTTTGCGGTTCAATTTCTGAATCCAAAATTGTTCTTTCTTCTTTCTCTGAATATTTGCTTACTTTGCATTTACTTCTCGTTCATTTTTTTTGGTTCTCACGAATTCAGCTCGTGTTAGTTGTTTTCTTCTGCAAATTTATGTTTGATTAATTTAAATATATGTAATTTAGAAATTTATGTTTCTAGATATTGAATGGAATGAGGGAAGAAGTATGGGCACGGACGAAATTAGAAGTAAAAATATTCGATAGGTCTATTAGAAGAACAATATGTGTATTTTTTCCCCTATAGTTTTAAGTAGTATTTTAACATTTTTTGGTTTTTGATAATTTAATAATTAAATTAATATTGTTATTGATGTTTATAATTACTAAATTCTAAATATCAAAATAAAAATTGCGTGGTTGATATTAGTTTGTCCGTCATTTTACAGGGAAAAAAAAAATGCTTGCGTATACTTTTTCTTTCAGTATGAGCATATAAACAACGCTAACATTGCTCTAATAAACAGTGTATTTGATAATAAATTCAAGAGTAATTTGTATTCAGCTTTCTTTATGGAGTAATCAGCTAATATGTTGTCTATTATGTAGCCGACATCCGGAGGTCAAGTGGGCCCAAAGGGAGGACAAGGTATTTATTACAGTGCTGCTGCCAGATGCTAAAGACCCCAAGGTCAATCTTGACCCTGAAGGGGTTTTTACATTCTCTGCTACAGCAGGGGCGGACAACAAACCGTTCGTCGTGATTACCTTTGATGCTATCCATTTTGGTGCGTGCTACAGAAATTCGGTGACATGGGCGGCCTAGGAGGCATGGGCGGCATGGGAGGCATGGGCGGCATGGGAGGCATGGGCGGCCTTGGAGACATGGGTGGCATGGGCGGCCTTGGAGGCATGGGTGGCATGGGCGGCCTTGGAGGCATGGGTGGTCTAGGGGGTGATGCTATGGGTGATGACTTTGAGGATAGTGATGATGAAGGTACTGAATTGAATTGAATATTCGATAATGTATACTCTATGAAAAGGGTGTTTAATGTGTTTGTATGCTTGTGTAATAAATAGGATGTTCTGTTTCTGATATTGATTAACTTTCTTTATGGGTTGTTAATTGGTTGTTCTTTTCATAATATCGACTAATTTTCTTTTTGAGTCAGGATTGTTTCTTGTTATGGGTGGATAATGTTTGTTCGACCCTAGGGTGTGCCAGATATTTTCACAGTTATGTTGCACCTAAAACGATACGTTAAGAAACAGTTTGTTAAACACTTTCTAAGGAGAAAGTGAATTATAATTCCCCCGAAAAGAGCTGATTTAAACTCTTTCCCTTGAATTTTATCTTTATTTCTTTGATCGAACACTTTCTAAGGAGAAAGTGAATTTTAATTCCCCCGAAAAGAGCTGATTTAAACTCTTTCCCTTGAATTTTATCTTTATTTCTTTGATCGAACACTTTCTAAGGAGAAAGTGAATTTTAATTCCCCCGAAAAGAGCTGATTTAAACTCCTGCCCTTGAATTTTATCTTTATTTCTTCGACCTGTTGTACGTCACCCACCCTTCATCCATCGACAAAAAAAGTGACCGGCTAACTGGCATTATAACTTTTTTCATATTTTATTGTTTATTTGTGGCTTGCCGCTGTGCTCCATTAGCATCATATCTTTCATTTGTGAAGGAGCAGAATCACCACTCCTTACCTTTTTTAAGAGATTAAATATGCGTCTGATGCATTTGTACTTAGATTTGGTCACTCTCTTCTCTTGTCACGAGTGAATTCTCTTTTACAGACGAAGAAGTTGGAAAACCTGAGGAGGGAGCTGATGACAAGGTAGGTGAAGCTCCAGAGGGCAAAACCGGTTCTGCATCTACTTAAATGATTTGTGTAATTCAGGCCTTATGCTTTCGGTTGGAGTTGTTGCATTTGGTAATTAACGCATGCATGCGTTTCCTAATAGAATGAAGATTATTTATGTGGTTTTTATGTTGAAGAAAACATTGATATTTGTCCTCCCGGGCAGACGTTTGTCTTCCATTTTGAGGTGTTGTAATTTAGCTAAGTTATGAGTGGATTTTGTATCGAATGGTTTTTGAACTCCACATTGCTTTGCTTTCTATTGAAATGCATGTGCTGTTGCTTACACATCGGTGTATTGCTTATATTCACATGTCTCGGTGTATTTGCTTATATTCACATGTCTGGGTGGGCTTATTTGGAGCTTATAAGTGGGAGAGAGGAAATGGGAATTTTTTTTGAGGATCTTAATGCTAATCGCCATGCAGAACCTAATTCTTTTAGCTCTATATTTGACTTATGGGGCTTATTTTGAGCTTATGATCCAGCAGTAAAAGATGTGAATTTGTTAGATTATTTTAAGATAAAAATAGAGGAAATTATGCTTTTTAAGCTTTCTTTTTCATTCACAATCAGGCACTTATTATGAAAATAAAAAACAATGTACATATATTTTCAGTATTTGATTTTCCATTTTCATGAATCAAAGCTTGAAACCCCCGTCTCACTTGTCTTCCATGAAGGTCATCTCTGACCGTTGCCCATGAGCTATCCAGAAAGAACGAGTGAAAGAATCTCCATAGGAAGCATCTAGAAAGGAGAAGTTTGTCGTATTGAAGGGATTATTTATATCTATGATTGTAATGAAATAGATGATGGTTTATTATTTAGCCCTTGTTTGATTTCATTTTGGGGAAAATAATGTGTTTTGAATAGTAGATTGATAAAGAATGTGTGGTTAAAAATTAAGGAAATATTGTGAATTTGCGTGTAATATTATTTTATTGAAGAATTGTGTAGTTGAAAATGATTTTTCAGAAGAATGGGAATCAAATAAGGGTTTAATGATTTAATATTTCAGTAAAAAAATATTTATTTGCTTAATATAATAATTGAAATTATGATAGCGGACAAATATCTAACTTCAATGCGTAAATTATAAATTTGTTTGGCTTACGAAAGCAGGATTTAGAAGATTGGAACATGTATATAATTGCCTGTTAGTCAATAATTTGTGATTAGTTTTTAACCTTCTAAAATCAAGTTGTTTTGTTTAAAGCTCTCCGAAATGACTTGAGGAATATTTGGTCTCATTAAATTATTCTCTCTTAGTTTTAGTTACACAATCTTCTATAAAATAATTTTATACGTAAATCGAAAATTTTTCCTTATTTTTAAGGATTTTGAACGAATTAACTTTTTGTTCTCAGGTTGGGCAGGAAAGGTTGGAGAAGGGCAATCACTCATTTTGAAAACTAGTGATCTTAGGATCAAAGAGTTGGACACCACCCACCTGTGTAGCCTCGATTGGTTCACTAGAATGGTTGCAGCAATCGACTTGCACCAAAACAAGGCCAATGAGTGAAAATCTTTATATTGGTTACTAGTGTTTAATGGTTCTTCTATGTCGAGAGCCTGTGAGACTCGTCGAGTGCCCTTTTGCGGATTCTCAAGCAACAGCAAAGAGAGAAACCTTGCGGAGGAATCCTTAGGTTTTCGGGGCGTTGGATTCTCACCAATGTTTGCGTTACTCAAGGCGACATTCTCGCTTCCGCTTCGTCCACACTGCTCGCGCGGGGGCTTCCTTCTAAGGCGAAACGCTCCCCTATCGATGTATTTTTACATCCCACGGCTTCGGCAGATCGCTTAGTCCTCTTCATATTCGGTGCAAGAGCGCTCGATCAATGAGCTATTACGCACTCTTTCAAGGGTGACTGCTTCTAGGCAAACCTCCTGGCTGTCTCTGCACCCCTACCTTCTTTATCACTGAGTGATCATTTAGGGGCCTTAGCTGGTGATTTGGCTTGTTTCTCTCTCGACGATGAAGCTTATCCCCCATCGTCTCACTGGTCGACCTTGACCCCTATTATTTTGAGGTCGTATCTAGTATTCAGAGTTTGCCTCGATTTGGTACCGCTTTTGCGACTCGCATCGAAACAGTGCTTTACCCCTAGTTGTCCAGTCAACTGCTGCACCTCAACGCATTTCGGGGAGAACTAGCTAGCTCTAGGTTCGAGTGACATTTCACCCCTAACCACAACTCATCCGTTGATTCTTCAACATCAGTCGGTTCGGACCTCTACTTAGTTCCACCCAAGCTTCATCTTGGTCATGAATAGATCACCCAAGTTTGGGTCCATAAGCAGTGACAATTGCCCTATGAAGACTCGCTTTCGCTATGGCTCCGGTGGGTTTCCTTAACCAAGCCACTGCCTGTGAGTCGTCGGCTCATTCTTCAACAGGCACACGGTTAGAGACCTGGCTCCTTCCACTGCTTGGGAGCTTACGGTTTCATATTCTATTTCACTCCCCGATGGGGGTTCTTTTCACCCTTTCCTCACGGTACTACTTCGCTATCGGTCACCCAGGAGTATTTAGCCTTGCAAGGTGGTCTTTGTTGATTCACACGGGATTCCATGTGTCCCATGCTACTCGGGCCAAGTGTAAGCTAGTGATGTTTTCGGCTACGGACTTTCACCATCTAGGGTGCAGCATTCGTGCTGCTTCGCCTAGCAGCACGATGCTTGTATTGCTCTCTCACAACATCGTGTTCACGGTTTAGGCTGCTCTTATTTTGCTCGTCACTACTACGGGAATCACTTTTGCTTTTTTATTTTCCTCTGGCTACTAAGATGTTTCAGTTCGCCAGGTTCTCTTGCCTGCCCATGGATTCAGCAGCAGTTCGAAAGGTTGCCCTATTCGGGAATCTCCGAATCTATGCTTATTTTCAACTCCCCAAAGCATTTCGTCGATTACCATGCCCTTCCTCGTCTCTGGGCACACTTGTTGATATGAATCATTTGAACTGAAATTTAGAATGGGTAGACTTGACAATATGAATCATTTGAAAAATAAACGTATTCGTTCTGTAGCGGATCTTTTACAAGATCAATTCGGATTGGCTCTGGTTCGTTTAGAAAATGTGGTTCGAGGAACTATATGTGGAGCAATTCGGCACAAATTGATACCGATTCCTCAGAATTTAGTAACTTCAACTCCATTAACAACCACTTATGAATCTTTTTTGGTTTACACCCCTTATCTCAAGTTTTGGATCGAACTAATCCATTGACACAAATAGTTCATGGGAGAAAATTGAGTTATCTAGTCCTTGGAGGACTAACATGGTGAACTGCTAGTTTTCGGATACTAGATATCGATCCTAGTCATTATGGGTGTATTTGCCCAATTGACACATCTGAGGGAATCAATGTTGGACTTATTA